AGAAGCTGATCTGAAAAGGCTATACATGATTCTAAATACATGACATTCTGTAAAAGACAAAACTATGAAGATAATAGATTTTTGATTCCAGGAGTTGGAAGGGGGGAGGGTGAATACATGGAGCACAGAGGATTTTTAGGGCAATGAGAATACTCTGCATGATACTAGGAATGATGACTACATATTGTTATACATTTGTACGAAACCATAAAATATACAATACCGAAAGTAAACCCAAATGTAAACTATGGAAGTTGGGTGATAATGATGTGTCATTGTAGGTTTATCAGTTGTGACAAATGTACCACTCTGGTATGTCCTTGTGGAGCAGGGACATACATGAAGTCTCTGTTCCTTCCTTTTATTTGCTGTGAATCTAAAACTGCTCTAAAAATAGTCTTATAAAAGAAAAAAACCACTCCATTTCTAGAATTAGACATTTTCCATAGTCATTTTAGTGGGGAGATTGAATTGAGAAACTAGAATCCAACCACCAGGTGTGCTCGATTTTCCCTGGTTTGCTTTTGTGGCCTTCTAGTGGACAAAGCTAAGATATACACACAGACACATGCACACTTGCCATGTGTTAATACTGAAACTCAAAATATGATTCAATGACACAGGATTGATTATAGTATCCCCTGTTTGCTTATTTGTAACTCCATGCTGTAATGGTGAAACACCTAACTCTCATTTGATGCTAACTTATTTACTCATTTGCTTCAACTTACAATACTCTATTCTAACCCCTACCACTGAGCAAAACAATCTGTCATTGAAATTCAATTTTTTTATTTAGATCTTGATTATCTAGTCCAAGAACTGTAGTTGAAAATTACTTAGGATTTAAAAAATATATTGCTATCTCTTATGTGTGGGTATGTTATTCACTTGAATTTAGTTAGGTTCATTTGTTCCTGACATTATTCCATCTCCAAGTGTACTTTATTCCCTCTTATTTATTTTACTTTACTTAAAAATGAAAACATTAACATTTCCCCAAAAGTCAAGACTCTAAAAAGTTGTTCTCAAAGAAATGTCAACAACCCCACTCTCTTCTACTCCATACACATCCATCCCAAGTTATCAGTTAACTTGGTAACCAATGTCATTATCCACTCTGAGTTTATTTTTATATAAAAAAGGATATATCTGTAAAAGTTTCTTATTTTCTGCCATCTTACCAGAAAGTCAGCATTCTCTATGTAAAATGTGCTAATAATGCTTTGTTCTTTTCACTTAGTAATATATTCTGGAAATACTCCATACTTGTTTATAGAAATCTTTCTTATTTTTTTTCCCATTGTGTAATGCTCCATTGATGAATGTATCATAATCCATTCAATCAGTTCAAGATAAAGGGAAATTATATAGTTTCCAATATTATGTAATTACACATAATGAAGAAAGTTGGGCAAATGTACTTTTGCTTTATTGGTAGTATAAGTCAGGACTTTTATTTAAATCAGTTCTTTTTCTTAAGTTAAACACATGTGGAAGTATCAAAGTATCAATTAATCAAAAGGTATTAATTTCTTTTTCATATGTAAAAGTAAAGATTCATAACAACATGCCTGCTAAAAGCTATATAAGAATTGTATGGTCTGGAAAACTGTAGCTACATTTTGTGGAAGTAGAAATTGTACCATGTATTTGTATAACAGCAAGGCAAGTGTGGTCTCTAGGAAGTATAGGTAAAGTTGATTAGATTGCAGTGTATACTTAAAAGTTGAATAATGCACTCTTGTAAAACACTCTTCAAAATTATTTAACTTCCCATGATATCATCACAGCATGTACAAAAAAAATCTTTAGTGTTATCTTTTCCTGTCACATGACTAGTGCAAACAAAAGAAATCCTTATCTTTTTGTTTCTATTCTCACCCTTTATAAAATTGCATTAAGCACCATTTAAAACTTACATATTAAAGGTTTGGTTTGGGGGGAAAAGTTTTATTTTGCATTTAATGTAAATTATATTTGCTAAATTATAAAGCAAAAAAATTTCCCAACAACTGAAGGTGTCTGGCATCTTCTATGCATAGAAATCTTATAGTTTTAAAATCACATCCCCATGTGTTCACATTTCTGTCTCAGCAACTCTGGGCACAATCAAATAAGCATGAATTACATTGTACAAAAAAGGAAATAGACATTTAGAGAATCCAGGACTTTTTTTTCCTTTATAAAGTGGGATGTGCTTATCTTATAGGGTTATTATGCATATCAAGTAACTTGAAAATGTTCAAGCTGTACAGAGAAGAGGTGATTTTAATACAGTTAAACACTTGGGACTTTGGTCTAAAATTTTTGTAACATTTCTCTCTGTGCAACACAAGAGATTTAAACAGTCTAAGAGCTACAGATCACACAGCAGGACAAATTGTTCATATAGGGGAAATATTTTATAGACTGAACTTACACTTCTAGGAGCAGGTGACAATGCTATATATCCATTGTGGAATAATTAACAGCATTACACGTTGTATAGAACTTAGACCTTGAAACAAACCTCATTAAAAGGTACTTGATCTTAGTTTTAAACCTTTAAGTATCCCTTCTTTAAGTGATCAATGTATGTACTGGCTACTTTAGTTATCCTGCTATAAGATTCACAAAACTTTGATCTAACTTTCTTTGATTTAACACTGCAATTAAGAAGATTTGGTTCAAAGTAAAAGCTCATTGGTTGATGTTTTACACTGATGTGATAATGTTTACACAGATGTGCTTTGAAATCTTGATTATGGCGGATTTGGGGGTCCTACCACAAGACAGACTGCTGTTATTTGAAAGGTAAGGTAATATGACATTTACCTTATACAACACTTAAAGCAGACCTAGCTATATACATTTCAAAAGTGATTTATCTGTTTATTTTTTAGTCAGTGTTTTTGTTTTATTTCATCTCTATCAACAGTAAGTCATTTGCTTTAAGGACTCTTTTTTTTTAAAAGATTGTATTTATTTATTTTTGTGTAGAAGAACTGGAGTGTAGGCCAGAGGAGCAGGGGTTGGAGAGGTAAAGAGGATTCACCAGAGACAGAGTGCAGAGCGGAGCAGGCAGATCTTCTGAAATACACTGCTAAGGGGGGCAGTGGGCGAGACAGAGGAGAGGTCTGCTGCTCCATATGTGAGCCCCTGGCCAGGGATAGAACTCAGACCAACATGGTGGCCATCATGGTGGTAGCACTGAGGCTTAACCTGTAGGCCACCAGGGAGGCCCACTTTAAGGACTCTTTTATAACTCAGTTGCCCAAAGTTCAGTATGTAGTGATGTAGTAATGAAAAGGTGTAACTTTACCTACTTAAAAGCACCTGCCATCAATTGGCAAAAAAACAAACAAAAACCCTTTGGAGTAAATAAAATGAAGCAGTCACATCAATTTGAATCCCCAGGTTTAGAATTTTGTTGACTAGAACATGAAACAAATTTGAAAAACTAATCTCCAGTGGTTCCCTAAAACCTTTTGCTCAGGGGAAGTATAAATCTACTAAGTGATTCTCAACGATTCTGCCACTGAAAATTTTTAACAGAAATATATTGAATTAAACTATGGTACAAAACCAAAAATTTGAGCTTTAAACAAGCATAGAGCACTTCAGAGGCTTTTTATTTTACAAATATGCACAGGTGCTCTAAATTTTTAAAAACTGTACATCTCAAAACATGAAGAATCACCATCATTTTCTATTAAGTGCTTTTATTATTAAAATGTGAACCCCAAGCATCTAGTTATAAAGAAAACGCAAGATAGAAGGAAGCGCTTTTAGATTGAATCAGGGCCCAAGAAGTCACTTATCATTTATGACATTATTATAGATACACATTTTCTATTCATGGCAAGGAGAATGAAAACCATCTCCTTTCAGCCTATTTGGATTTACCTGTAATCCCTAGATTCATGATTATATTGTTATTATATTGTGCCGATTAAAAGTCCATGACCTTAGCACACAATTTAAAACTTCCACATAGGTATAAGACAATCTTGGTTCTATCATGTACTATCTGAGCAAAGATAAACATTAAAGAGAACCTGGGGAGGGGGGTATGTGTGTTCCTCACCTAACCTTGATTATGTAAAGAAAATCCCCCATCTAAATGATAAAAGAAAAGAGTAGTGCTCATGCATTTTATTAGTGTTTTAAAATTAGTGAGTTAAACTGTCAAAGCTTTGATTTTCCTTTCATGTGTGTCTGGGCAGGTCTAAGCCTCAGGTAACGCCCTTTTTCCTTCTCTCTCTCTCTTACCTTTCTTTGCACCTGTCCACTGCAGGCTCCCAGCAGCTCTCAAGGAGTCCAATTCTCCTCTGCTCTCCTTTTCCTCCTCCTACCCATCCCCTCCTCCCCCTTCCTACCTCCCTCCCCCTTCCCCTTCTATATACCTGCCAAGCTGGGCTCCTTTTAGCAGCGATCTATCACTGCAAAGGAGCTCACATCAAAGGCGCTTGCACAGCAGCAGCCGAACAGCATCACGGTTGTTCCAAAGACAACCCTAAAGAGGGGCCTTGACTGCGCCTCCCCGAAGTTGCTGGCTCTCTTTGGCCAAGTGTGGGAATGATTTTTGCGCCTGCATGGATAGAGAACCGTCAAGGGCCCCTTTTGGTCACTTCCGAAGAGCAAAAACGTGTTGAGAGGAGGCCGGTTTAAGATTTCAAACAGAACCTCCCCAGCTCGCTTGAAAGGACTTGATTAGCATATGTCAAGAGGACCCGCATATATACCCGGTGTGTATGTACACAGGACTCTGATCTGATCAGTTTGCGGAGTTGGAGCCCCAGCCCCCAGCCCCAGCTCTAGCCCCAGTATTGGCAGCCGCAGCTATAGATGTTTCTGCAAAGCCAGCAGCCGGCTCCCACCTACCCAAGGAGAGAAGATCGCTCCAAGACAGTGAAAGCTTCCCTGCTATCTCAGTGCAAAGCCCATTCAGCGACCTCCCAGGAGTAACCGGGCCTTAACTTTTTGCGCTTGTTTGGCTAAAATTTTTCTCCATTCACCTTCCCATCTCTGCTCCACTTTTTACCCGGGAGGGAGAGTCTTTTGTTTTCGGATCGTGCGCCTCTCCCGCAGGCCCTTCCATGGCTCCCTTAGCCGAAGTCGGGGGCTTCCTGGGCGGCCTGGAGGGCCTGGGCCATCAGGTGGGCTCGCACTTCTTGCTGCCTCCTGCCGGGGAGCGCCCGCCTCTGCTGGGGGAGCGCCGGGGCGCGGCGGAGCGGGGCGCCCGCGGCGGGCCAGGGGCTGCGGAGCTGGCGCACCTGCACGGCATCCTGCGCCGCCGGCAGCTCTACTGCCGCACTGGCTTCCACCTGCAGATCCTGCCCGACGGCAGCGTGCAGGGCACCCGGCAGGACCACAGCCTCTTCGGTACGTACTGGCACCCCGGGACCCCCACCCCCCCCCACGCTGGACTCTTCTCGTCCGCCCAGTGCACCTCCCTCCTTGCCTGCAGAGAGCGCCCGGGCTTCGCTGGGCAGGGAGCCCCCCAGGACCCTTCCGGCGCGAGGCTGGAGCTGTGGGGCTGACCAGTGCTGGGAGTGGGAGGACTTTTCCAGCCTCCTTGCTGCCGCAGTCTCCAGCAGGCCTGCTGCTTCAGCTCCTGGGGGCGGGAGAAAAAGAGGGGGGGGTGCCCCGCACACACCTTCTGGCCCTGCCCTTCCTGCTGCCTGGGATACCAAGACATGAACTCAGAATCACATTTTCTTCACACTCTTTACTCGAAGGCAATTTGTGTGTGCTTGATTTCTATCTTATTTTTCTCCTACTTCGTCTTACATTTTCCTCATCCACTTAACAAAAATTAATAACAGGAACCTTGCGCTTCCTTTAACATGCCCCGCAGCTGTGCAGTTGAGGATCCTTTTCATGGCTGCTGTGCTGAGGGTCGCTCTTGCATGGGATGGGGGCATTTGTGTGTCTACCTGCAGAAGTGTAAAGTTCACCTGATGAAATAACTTTCTGTGGGCGCCGTCACTGCTGTCAGTGTCACTGGGCTGCATTTCTCTGAGCTCCTTGACTTCTATTTGGATGAAAAGGCCAGGGGGCGTGGGAGGTGGGGGCTGCCTAGCTACTGGTAGCCTGCCCAGTCCTTCAGCCAAGATCCTCTTTAGAAATTGTGAAACCCGAAAGCAAAGATCTTGATATTGACCGTAGGTAAGAGGAAATAGGGAAGCGAAAGAAGATATGGGTGGGAACAACTAGGAACGTGTTTCCGAATACCTCCAGCACTGCCTGGGAGGAGAAGGAGTTAATAGAATGAAACAAGCAAATTGTTGTTCGGGGGAGGTTGTTAAGACACTGCTCTAAGAAATCATGAGGTCTTTACTGTTAGTTCCTCCCTAACTGGACTGCAAGTGCTCTCACCAGGCTGAGTCTTGTCTCTATAACGATGGGGTTAAATTAGGTGATGGCTGTAAGATGCTTTCTAGTTCTAATATCACAGACTCTTCCTCCCTTTCCCACCCCCGCCCCATCCTCTTCACGATTAGAGAACTTTGCATTTTATTACAGTCAATTCACAGCACTTGCTGGGGACTTTGCTCATCTGACCTGGACATCACTGAAGAGATCCATTGTATTAAAAGTTATCATTTATTTAATAGCAACATGATAGGGCTCAACAAGAGTTGGTTTTCTTTTTTAGTTAGCACTATGGAATTCCTTGAGTACCTTGTCTCTAAATGGCCCTCTTTTATCTTGTCTTCAACTGCTTGTTCTCATACTCTCATTCTTTTTTTTTTTTTTTTTTTTACTTGTAGTGCTCATTAAAACTTTGGAGAAATGTAAATCTCAGTGTAAGGGGCATTTGTAACTCTAGATGTAGACATGAGCATGTGTTGGTCATTTGGTAGCACTTAAAGGCTTAGAAAATTAACTTTTAAAACCCATATGTTTGCAACTTCCACTGATCTCTTCCAAATTCCCACTGACCAAGAGTCGAGAGTGTCATGACCTAGTGGCCAACCTTGAGGTCACTTTTGGAAAGTGGTTGCTAAATTGAGAAGGCTGAGAATCTCATTCTAAAGAACTTTGCTGACACCAGGTGGCTCAGTTCTCTAGCCTTTAAGAATTACTGTGCTCCACTCATTACAGAAAAATCCCCTAGCTACCAGAAACTTGTAGAAATGGACATAAATGTGATGAAGCAGAGAGAAGTTAGACTCAGGTAACACCCAGATTTCCCCGGTGTCATACATGGCATATTGACATGAAAATTTTACTTTTAAAACACTTGTAAGTCAATTGTAATCTCCCCAATGACAAGGTACTTTTGTCCACTTTGTATATCTTTATAAGTTTGACCTTCTAGGAAGAAGATTAGTAAATATTTGTAGACTTGATAACATTCATTCAGGTGGTATTTAAGTACACTGTTTAAGAAATAAATATTGTATATTAGAATTACTATCTCAGTAGCACTTTTTTGGGTTAAAATTTTGTATTATTATTTAGTAATTGCTTATGACTTGGACTGATATTGAATTGGTTTAAGTCACCCTGTGGTGGGAAGCCATATATCAGGCAAAATATTTACTGTTACACAAAGGGAAGATAACCCAGATTAGTCAGGTAGCCTAGAGGAGTGAACAGCCTCCAGAAAACATTACAGTGCATCCTAGTGGCCTTAGATAGCCAGACATTATTGTTAACTACAGGAGCATTTAGGTGACAAGAAAGTTTATGTTCAACTGTGTATGCAGCTCTGTCTTCTTTTCCTTGTGCTTTAATTATTAATTATGAAATTATTTTGCTGTATTTCTATTAAACTCATTTCTGAGACATCAAAGTAAGAATTTTGAAAGAGATTAAGATTGGGTTTTGAGATGTTGAAGTAACGCTCTTGATAATTTATACTAATTTAGCCATGATTAAATTTAAAAAATTCAGAGTAGGGTGTTTGAAAATTTCAAAACCACATCAATAGAATATAAACAAAAAGGTCCCATGAGGTTAAAATAATTTCCTATCTGAGTTATAGATTTTTTTTTCCTGCACAGTAGTACAGTAAGAAGACTTTACCTAATACGTAAACATGGAATCATTACTTAAAAAAAAAGTTTAGCCTGAGATCAAACATATTCCTTTAAAGGCTTTTCCTTTATTCTCCCCTATTCTCCATAGATTTGTCTGATGTGGTTGCATTGTGGGTTGACTCACCTGTTTATTATGATTTTGAAAAAGGCTGGCTTTGAAAATGATACCAGAAAGACAAAGTACCTCCAAGTCTTTTTATGGGACACTGGGCATTAGAAAATCTATCTAAAATCTGTGATTACCTCTTAAGGAAAGTTTTTCATGTCTACTCTTTGTTAAGGAATTAGCTTAGTTGCCACCTCATATTATAAATAAGAAAGACTTGTCAAATCTCATTTAAGAATCAAATGATTACAAATTACTATGCGGTATACTATTTCCTCGAGGAGAAAAAGGATCAGAATTAAAAAGTGTGGCTAAAATCTTTAAGAGGAACACAAAAAAATATGACCCTTTTCCCATCAGCCCCCATGAACCATTGCGAAATTATTTATGGCTGGTTATAAATGAGGTTTTGGATGTTGGTTAAGAAAGTTGAAAGTTTGAGTTAGTCTAAGAATATATACAATTTCTTGCCTTTCTACAACTATGTATTTTTTGCATAGCTACTAGCAGTATCTTCAGATGAGAATTAAAGTATAAGTGATTCACCATTTAGTTTTGAAAGAAAAATAAATAACCCTTTATAACATGTTATATAATTAGCTTATATACAAGTGACACATATTCTATTATAGTTGAAAGCTGGTTTTATTATGTAACCTGTCTATACCTTCTTTAAAAGACAAGAGCATCTTAATGTAAGTCAGATACTTAAAAAGTATTAAGTTACATGTCAGCCATGGTACACTTTTCATTTGAATTTAACATTCATACTACTTCAAGTAATTATACATTAGTCAGTACATCCTGGATGAAATTCCGTAAATATGTCTATTCTACCAGTCACCTCTATTTTTGTTTTTAACAGGAATCACTCACTAATGAGCTTAGTAGTAAGTTTATTCATTTACTTTTTACTTCTGATCTCTATATTTGTCATGCTAATGGTTCTCTTATGGAGTCTGGGTCTTCCTGCTAATTCTTATTTTCTCTCTGCCTTAGACTCTATTAGGGACTCCTTCAAGTCACTTATGGATTATTTAGTAGCATATTGTTGCTATGAGATCCTTGATAGCTCCGGTCTTCCATGTGAACTCCCAGTAGCTTGAAAGAGCTTGTTTGAGCACTTAAGAATTTGTGTTTAGAGCTTAAGAATATGTTTCTGCTGATGAGTAAATTAGACTCTGGACAGAACAGAAGACTCCATCTGAGCAAGTACTGAGATTGAGTAGTGACCGTGGAAACATCACGTGTCTAAACAAGAACTTCTACAATAAACCAAAATGGCATAAGAGTAAGAGTCAGGCTAAATGGTACACACTGACATTGATTGTAAGGCTTAAGAGGGGGGTGCATGGATGACGGTGGACCAAAGCGGTTCTATTGACCAAGGCAGTTCTAAGCACAGAAAACACGTCCATACTTTATCAGAAGAGTCTATGTGAAGAACAAGACAAAGATATTAGTCTAAAAGTTAATGTGCACAGAGAAGAAAGAGTAATGCAAAGGGATGCATTAATTTTTAAAGAATTTTTATTAGTATAGTAAGTGGAAAGTTTTTGATACTCGTTTACCTATTGATAAATGAAAATAATTCTAGGAAGTTATTGATACCATAATCTATTTGCATGTAACTTTTTGGTATCTGGCTATCACATGTAGTAATTTATAAAGCCATTTTGCTTCTTTGAACTATAAAATTTATTTTTAAGAATCATGTCACAGGAAACAGCATACTATTATCCATAAAGTTTTGAACCTACTCTGTTGTCCTAAAGAAAGTGTCCTGAAGCATAAACATTGGATTAAGACACAGAAGATATGAACTCAAGTATCAGTTCTATTAATTACAAAGGTTATGCCCTTAGGCAAGTCAGTAAAACTGTTTGAACCTCAGTTTCTTTACATGTAAAGTGAGGTTAATAATATCTTCCATACCTATTTTAGGGGATTGTTTTTGAAGACCAGATAGAAAATATAAGTAGAAGCCCCTTTTATAAACTATAAAATACTGATATATCCATATAACACTCACTGGCTGCTGCTAGAAAAAGTGACTTGAATTGTAGTAAGAAGTAAAACAAAGCAATTAATAGACATGGTTATAATTAACTAATGAAATTATGGAAAACTAAGAACACCTATATTACATACTAATTTATGATAATAATAGCTTCCACTTGTTGACTGCCTAAATGCATTAGTCCTTACCTTGCTTCTGCATATGAGGAAATTGAAGTTCAAAGAAGACAAATGACTTGCTTAGTCAGACTAGCTCCTAAATTAGTGAAATAGATTCAAGCTTAGGTCAATCAAAACTTTAAAACTTTGCATCCTTAACAGTATACCATGATGAAGATTTTTTTAATTTGTGAAATGGGAGAATTGTCATAATGAGACAATTTTTTAGCACTTTCAGTTTACAAGGGAAATCCACAAAAGTCATTATACTTCTCAGTATTTGTTACACTACTGCTACTGCTTGGGAGATTTTGATTAGTTATATGATCATTAATAATCATTAATTACTTCTTTGTTTATAAATTCAGGTATCCTGGAATTCATCAGTGTGGCGGTGGGTCTGGTCAGTATTAGAGGTGTGGACAGTGGTCTTTACCTTGGAATGAACGACAAAGGAGAACTCTATGGATCAGTATGTATTTTTTAAAAGTATTGTAATTTTTGAAATAATGGATATCCATTTTGTCTATCAGTAACACGTCAGAAGTATATAAAACATCCTTCTGTACAAATTAAATAACTGTATTCCGCTTAATTTCTCCAAGTCTGAACAATAGTACAGTAACTCAGTTTCACTGTTTAAACTCCAAACCTCTATTCTCTTTAACTCATTATTTCTTTATACCCATTATCCTGGCCTTTCTTCTTACCTCCTTATTTTTGATCACTCTCTTCAGAAACAAAAAAAAGTGAGAAAAGTTTTTTTCTTGCCATGTTAGATTCCTTTTATTTTTACATTTATTTTTAAAGATTTCTTCATTTATTTATACAAGCACTGGATACAGTCAGAAGCGCGGGAGGGTGAAGGGATTCACCAGAGACAGAGTGGGGACCAGAACAGCGAGACTGACGAAATACACTGCTGAGGGGAGCAGCGGGCGTGGCAAGAGAGGTCTGTAGCGCCATGTGGGACACTCGCCGGCGGCCGGGGATTGAACCGGCGCTGCAGAGGCTGCGGGCAGCCTTGCAGCCCAGTGCTCAACCGCTGCACCACCAGGGGAGGCCCTCATTTTTACATTTACTTAATGTAAATTTTTCTCTACCCATTATCATCTTCCATAACCAAGCATATATCACTTGCTTGCTGACCTTCTCCATAGGAAATGAGTGACTAAAAACTTAGGATACTGTATATAACAGCAGAAAATGGCAACTACAATAGTTCCTCCATGTCTGTGGTCTTGATGATTACAGTAGCTGTAATCATCCAAATTCCTTTGGGCAATTTATCTTGCCACTGAGGATAAGTGCATGTTTGTGGGTCTACTGTAAATGTTTCAAACATGGGGCTTAGAGTAAACTTTTTAGGTTAATATTTTATCATTATGAGCTTTATTTCTTTATAACAAAGCAACAACAATGCAAGAATTAGAGTAACAGGATAATATAAAACTCAATCCACAGTACAATAGAGAATTTTCATTCATTGGTAATATTTTAATTTTTTGAGCTACTAATGAAAAATCATTATCATTTTTAAAAACTATTATTTTTTAATGTTGAGTTACAAAACTGTGTGTGGTTTAGGAGTATAGGCTCACACTTCTTCCGATGTATGTTACTGAACCACACTCACCACCAAAGAACCCATAATCCTCCACCATTATGGCTTACCACTCCTCTTCCTCCCTCTCTGATAGCCTGGGTCCTACAGTTAAATTTCTAGGTTTTTTTTTTTTTTTTTGTTTGTTTGTCTAATTTTGCCTGTTCCTTTTTTTTTTTTTTTTTTTCCTTTCTATTCTTCATATGTGTGAAACCGTCTGGTATTTGCCTTTTTGCTTTGAACTTATTTTGCTTGGTGCTAATATAAATTTAAGAAACTGGTATGGTGTTAATGTGTACCACTCTTTCATTCATCCTCTCATATGAAATCCCTTCTTAAAGTCAAAGTCTCTGTAACTATTTCCAAAAAGAATTTACTTTTATATCTTGTGACTTTTCTTCCTAAAAATCTCAACTGAGATCACATGATGCAGTTGGGACCTCAATATACACTGAGAAAAGTTAGTTGTAATATTTCAGTAAGTAATATAATATCTGCCCATTGAGGCTTTTTAGCCAGAACTGAAGAAAGAAATAATACATTGTATAGTAATCATAAGAGAATTGCAATTTAAAGATAAAAGCATGCTCTTGCTCTTCCTTCTTCATGTATGAGCTGGATTAAAAAAAGTAACTGTAGTCAATCCTTTAGGAAAATATGAACTCCTTTTTGAAAAGCCAAGAAATCTCTGGGCTTTTATTACATTTACGTAATAGTAACATCTGATAAAAATTAATTATGGGGAATATATCATCAAACAATTAATAAATTCATAAAGGGAAGATATACGATTTGGAATAATGAACTTGACTTAGGAATTTAGATTTTATCAAAATCTTGAAATGTTTCAAACTGATAATAGAGACTTGGATGTAGAACTTTGGTGTCTGATAATAAAGCAAGTTAAACTAGGGGACTGTTTGTTGGTGATGTGATAAGAGGGTGATAATTTGGAGGATGGGAAAGTTCAGAATATTTATGAAGTATTTGAAAGTAAAATTGAGAATTGACATTTAACTTAATGTCTTTGAACTAAGTTGCTGGATGGAGTCAACTGCAAGAAATAGTTCCAGATAACAAAAGAACTAAGTTAAAGTAAAACAAAAGCAATTTAATCTTTCTCCTTGCTTGATAAAGGCAAAAAAATAAAAATAAAGATTTGAGACTTTTCTAAGAATATTCTTTCAAAAAAAATTTTTTTAATGGCTGTTATCGGTTCTCTCTTTTTTAGGAGAAACTGACTTCTGAATGCATCTTTAGGGAACAATTTGAGGAAAACTGGTATAATACTTATTCATCCAACATATATAAACATGGAGACACTGGCCGAAGATATTTTGTGGCACTTAACAAAGATGGAACTCCAAGAGATGGTGCCAGGTCTAAAAGACATCAAAAATTTACACATTTCCTGCCTAGACCAGTGGACCCAGAAAGAGTTCCTGAATTATACAAGGACATACTGATGTACAGTTGAAGTGTGGTAGTCTCTTCCCTGAAGAATCAAATCACAACCCTTTTTCCTTCTCACTGTTTTCATCACAAAATATCAGTAGTAACCAAGGAAGATATCAGGATGTTACAGAGCCCATTTTCCACGGGGAGACTGAATTGGGAAAGAACATTGAGAAAAAACAAACAAAATTTGACCTGAAATAGATCAAGATCTTTCTTTAAAGTGGATTAAGTTCCCTTAAGTATATTGACTCAGACTTAACAGTAGACTGAAGATACAAATCTCTTAAATTGTGGATAAATGGGAACCCCACCTAGTTTGCTGCTGGTGCATCACCTCTGGATTATGTTTACTTTACAGATGACACTAAAAATAGATACTTCATGTTGAAGAAATGGATGGACATAGTTGGCCAAGATTATTGCTACATGAATTCTGAGGACCTCGTAGGATTTTGCAGGTTATGCATTATATGTAAAAAACCTGGGTGATATGTGGACTATAAAACATGCCACACCAAGATGGAACTTTTTTTTAAAAGGATGGACCTATTTATACATTTTCAATTTGCAAATATTTATTATATATATTTATTTATTAAAGAGTTTATTTTTTACTGGTAAATGAAGATAATACAAAGATAAAAAAATTCTTTTTTTGTGCCATTACTTTGCTGTGGTGTCTTGGATTGTAAAGAAGACATCATTATTGCAACACATTAAACATAGAATAAGATCTTGAATTTCTTTTTAAAAATAAAGGATAGCATAGATTATATTTTGCAGTCAATTGCCTTTTAAATGTAACATTGATTCTTTTGGCTTAGAAAACATGCTTTATCAATTTGTATTCAAGTCAACACGTTTTTCAAAAGGAAATTAAACTTTCAATTTTATGTTTCGATTCAATTACTTTTCAGGTGAAAGTTATCTACTTATATAACATTTTAAAAATAACAAGATGCTATGTCCTCTAGAGAAAAATAATAGTATTTAAAGCACTTTTAATGTTGAAAATTATCATACTAAAAAGACAACTTTTGCTTACTTATTTTCTTTTTTTTTTTTTTTTTTTAAATATTAAATTTTATTTTTATATTCCCCCATACAATTGCAAACGCCCCATTCTGACCCCAATCCTTCCCCTCCCGCCCCCCACCCCCAAAAAGTGTCTCTGGTTCATAGTTTTTTGTTGATTTTGATTTTCACTTTCTTATATTCATTTTCCTGGTCCCTTATTTAAGTTTTCTAGATTCCTGCTATGAGTGAGACCATCCGGTATTTTTCTTTTTCTTTCTGGCTTATTTCGCTGAGCATGATCCCTTCCAGTGCCATCCATGTTGCTGCAAATTGCATGTGTTTATCTTTTTTGAATGCTGAGTAATATTCCATGGTATATATGTACCACATCTTCTTGATCCAGTCATCTATTTTTGGGCATTTGGGTTGTTTCCAAAGCTTAGCTATTGTAAACAGTGCTGCTATAAACATAGGAGTGCAGGTGCTCTTTGGAATTGATGTTTCTGTGTCCTTTGGGTAAATACCTAGGAGTGGAATTGCTGGATCATATGGAAGCTCTATGTTTAGTAGGTCCAGAAATCTCCACACAGCTCTCCATAATGGTTGGACCAGTTTGCACTCCCACCAACAGTGCAGAAGAGTTCCTTTTTCTCCACATCCTCGCCAACATTTGTTGTTGCTAGTTTTTTTAATATGTGCCATTCTCACTGGTGTGAGATGGTATCTCATGGTAGTTTTGATTTGCATTTCCCTGATTACAAGTGATGTTGAACATTTTTTCATATGTCTGTTGGCCATTTGCATTTCCTCTTCAGAGAAGTTTCTTTTTAGCTCTTCTGCCCATTTTTTGACTGGATTATTTTCTTTGTTGTTGCTGAGTCTCATCAGCTCTTTGCAGATTTTTGTGATCAGTCCTTTATCATTAGTGTTGGGTGCAAAAATGTTCTCCCAGTTGGTGGGGTTTCTCTTTGTTTTTGTTATTGTCTCTTTTGCTGTGCAGAAGCTCTTTAATTTGATGTAGTCCCAGCTGTTTATCTTTCTCTTCACTATCACTGCTTTGGGTGATGTGTCTGTAAAGATGTCTTTGATGTGCAAATCCCGTAGTGTTTCGCCTATATTTCCTTCTATGTATTTTATGGTTTCAGGTCTTATGTCTAGTTCTTTAATCCATTTTGAGTTGATTTTTGTGTATGGTGTGAGGTAGTGGTCAAGCTTCATTCTTTTGCATGTAGCGACCCAGTTTTCCCAGCACCATCTATTGAACAAACTTTCTTTGCTCCAATGCATAGTCTTTGCTCCTTTGTCAAAGATTAGTTGACCATAAATCTGTGGGTTTATTTCTGGATTTTCTATTCGATTCCATTGGTCTGTATGTCTGTTCTTGTTCCAATACCATGCAGTTTTGATGATTATGGCTTTGTAGTAGAGTTTGAAGTCTGGGAGTGTGATGCCTCCATTTCCTTCTTTCTTACTTATTTTCTTGATTCAGTGTGGCAAAACCATTTCTTTTATCCATCCTGATCATAGAAAAAATAAGTCTTTGTTGGCACCACCATTAATAATGGTAACAAAATCTATCTGAACCTGGTATCTTTTTCATTGTCCTTTATTCACTCATCTAGCCAAAAATATTCACTAAATTCACTAAACTAAGTTCCTATACAGAAAACACTTTTAGATATTAGAGAAAATGTGGTGATTAAAACAGAGGGAGACCTGAATCAGGGACCTTAATGTCTAGTAGGGGAAATAAATGATAAGTAAAATGACAAATACCACAATTGTGACTTGTGGAAACAAGGTTCAGACAGGAAAAAAAAAGAGAGAGAGAGAGAGAGAGAGAGCGCAAACTCAGATGAGCCAGAGAAGGCTTCTTTAAGGAGGTGATCTTTCCCATGGTCCCTAGTGGACATAGGCTAAAGGAACTAGCCTGGCTGAGGTGAACGAGAGAGCTTTGCAGGGGGAGGAAACAGTGAGCCTGGAGTCTCTAAGGTGAGACAGAGCTTTGTGCCTGGAGTTTTATGAGCAATCGAGAGAGTGGCACAGATGAGTTTTGAAAGCTATACAGATACAAATCCTACAGGTTCTTAAAGGCCTTTGGCTTTATTTGCTCCTGCCAAGTACTTGTCAGTGTCCCCACTCTAGAAATAGTAATCGTTATTGGGGATGTGGTAATGATAATCGCAGCAGCTTCCTCCAGATTCCAAGCTGAAAGGCATAGCATCACACTGATTGCTAGGTCCCAGCCCCAGAGTTTCTGTGGGTAGGTCCTGGATGGGGTCTGAAAAATTGCATTTTTACACCCATTTGGAGATAAGATTAATGCAGTTCCTATAGTTATCACAGTTTGTAAACCACTGTTCTAGAGTGGGATTCTCAAACTTTATATATACAATCACCTGGGAGATCTTATAAAAAGATTGATCTGTTAAATGATAGATCATAATATTTCAGGTGATGCTGCTAGACTGTGAACGACACTCTTAATGCCTAGACTGACTGTAGTTCCAGATAGCATTACAGCAACAGTCAATTATTATTATTAATTCATCCTCCCACTACTTAGATAAATTAATGTTGATGTGTGAGGTAAGGTAGAGAGTTCAACATATCAGATAATGAAACTATCTGGGAATGTGTGTTTGTGTGGGGAGTTGTGTGTGTACTTGAAAGGGTAAGAGACAAGAAAGACATGTTTTATCTCAAAAATCTCTTGATTTATGAAATAATAAAGGTGGTATATCAGTAATATTTAATGTTTAGAATAAAATATTTCCCACTTTACTTTTATGTGTAATTAAAGTTAAAAAAGCTTATTTTTGGTTCTACGTATGATATCTGTAATTAAAGTACGTGTCCCAAACAAGCATTATGCAAATATTGCGAGTCTTGAAAATGATGCAGGTTTCTAAACTTATAACTATGGAGAAAGTCTTACAAAATTTAAAGAGATCGTATACTGAACAAAGATGGTTGTAGGGTAAGGTAAAAGGTATCAGGCTTTTCCGCCCTCCCGCCATCAGGATAGATGACGGAACCCTGCGGTCCTGAGTGCATGCCTGATGGCGGGTACCTGGAGTAGGGTGTGGGCATGCGTAGGTGGGTACACCTGAGCTGAGAGACTGATTTATAAGGGTGGTGCAGCAGAGTGCGGTGTGGTGGTAGTGCGGTGTTGAGGGTGGAGGAGTGGAGTGTACCGAGTACAGCGAAGAGCATGTGGCTGCTAGAACCGTTCATAAACCTGCCCAGAATGGGTTGGCTGCTTTACACCTGGTCTGCTGGATATTAGAAAACCTGCACAGTGTCCATTCCTGCCCTTACAATTGGCGTAAGTCGGCAAGATGATCCATGCAGACGGGTATTGGAGCCCTCCGAAGACCTGGAGGGACTAAGGAGTTGTAAGAGACTGTGTGTGCCTGTGACAACGCTGGAGGCATCATGTTGCCACAGGAGATGGACAAGGTCCACGAGCTACAGGACGAGACCTGGCCTGAAGGAGATGCCCGAGAAAGAAGCAGCAGAAGCCGAGAGAGAAGCAAGAGAAGCAGAAGCGGAGAGAAGGCCGGAGAGCCCAGATAGAGTGAAGACTTGCTGGGGGCTGGGAGGCCTGTCAGCCTCCCGGCCCCCCAGCACCCCTGCCTGCTGTGTACCGGGTAAATCCCAATAAAAAGACCTGTGGTTGAGTGCTGGGTTGCGAAGCTGCCCGCAGCCTCTGCGGCGCCGGTTCAATCCCCGGCTGCTCCCCGGCCACAGGAGGAGGGTCCCACATGGCGCGCAGACCTCTCCTGCCTCCCACTGCTCCCCTCAGCAGTGCATTTCGTCAGTCTGCCTCCTCTGTTCCTCACTCTGGCTCTGGTGAATTCTCTCACCCTCCTGCGCTTCTGACTGTACCCAGTGCTTGTATAAATAAATAAATAAATAAACAAATCTTTAAAAAAAAAAAAAAAAGACCTGCAAAAAGCCACTGAGGACTCTGACTCCTCCTTTACCCGGTCTGCTGGATGAGATAACCTGCTCAGTGGTCAGTCCTGCCCTTAAAATGGTACACGATACTACTGTACCCAATCAAAATTTGCTTAAAATATGACAGGATTATAGGTCAAAGTTTTTTTTTACTTCTGATAGCTACTTGTGGTGATATGAAATATGACTGAAACAATGACTATAAAAAAAAAAAAACAGGAAGTGCCACTTCTTCTATCTGTGTTTTGGCATCTCTTCCCATATGGAAAAAAATTGCATCGGCTGAATTTATCCTTTAGTTATCCCCTACTGTGTGAAAGTTCTGTGACTCCACTTTACTTTTATGAAAGACCTACGTTAGTACTGTTTTTGCTAATTGAAAGAAACCCAGACATGCTTTTCACTTTTACGACAAAAGACGAAAAGCAGAACTGGAGTTGAGCGGCTTCTTTGCGGCAGCCAGATCCCCAGCAGCGAGAGTGGCCCGGCAAGCTCCTTCCAGAACTACATTATGTGGCTTGCGTATGTATCCTAACATTCCTGCTTTTACTACAAGC